TCCTTCCCTTCCTCTATTGTCATGCTCTTCTTTCTCCTGCTTATTCTTTTCTTCTTGCTTTGGTTGACCCACAGCTTGTTTGTCTTCTTTTTGTTGCTGATGCTCAGCCCCTACTCCACCACTTGCTCCTCCTTCTTGTCCTCCTGCTCCTTGTCCCTCTCCTCCTGTTGTCTCTCCCTTTCCTTTCCCTCCCTCATCTCCTGAGTCTCCATCTTCCTCTCCATTCCTCTCCTCATTCCTACCTCCTCCATTTCCCTCTTCTTCTATTGCAACAGTAGTTACGCAGCAGAACTTGCTTCGTTCAATCCATCCATATCTCTGGTATGCTGGAAACTCCCCTCCTTCAATTAGTGAGAACTGGTAAGGAAGACTAGCTGTGTGAACTGGAGCAACAGCAAATTTAAGATACTTGGATAAAGAAGGATCACTGAGATCGATACAGTGTTGCATTTCTATCCTCAGTGACTTGAGGAGTGGACTGGTTGATATTGCATACACTGCACTCACTAGTCTAGTATTATCAGGAAACCTATAAAGGAATTAATAATTAAAATACATGTACATGTATATATATGTAATGCATAGTAGGTAATTTTTGTTAGGTAAAATTTTTATTATTTCGTGTATCTAAAATAGTATGCATTACATATATTGTCATAATCACCGTTTAATTGTTCTAATTGTTATAAAGCAAAATTTATAAGGCAGTGATATTTTCTTCACTAGACACATAAAGACTAAATTATCAATTGTTTTCCCTCACAATAATTCCCCAGTACTAACTATACAGACATTACTACATGTACAGTATATGTACTTGAAGTGTCCTCCTACAAGAGCTAGTACTGATACTTCTACAGTCTCTGATGCTGATAGACTATCCTCTGCTACACTAATCCTCAGTCCATACTCCTCCCAGTTCATCAGTTGAGGTTTGTCTCCTTGAACTAAGAACAACTTCTTCCCTGCTATTTGGGACTCACTCAGACCTTCCAAATTATCTGTAGGAAAGTATAACAACTGAAATTATGTATTGTTAAAATGTGTATGTAATTATGGACAAAGATGAGACAATGAACCATAATTCATGTAAAGCTACACTGAATGACAATTGACAATGCACAGTACATGAAGCAACTTTAAAAATTTGTGAAAAATCCAATTTTGATTGGAATCAGCTCAAACTTTCTACGCAACATAAGTAGATGTATATGCATCAGAAAATGTAATAAAAATTAAAAATTTTCTACTTTTTAATTTTGGCAAATTTTGACCAAAACCACTGTAC